TGTAGTACTGGGGCTTCAATTCAAAATTTTCCCTCTGAACGTCTGGGAGACGAATATCTGACCTCTTGGCATAGTACTGATCTGGACGGTTGAAGTCTGCCAAGCTCTTAGGTCGAGTGGCCTCATCAGTATCAATTTCAGGGATTACATTACCCTCAGTATCCAGTTTCTGACCTGTTGGATTACGCAGATGACTTTCCTGGTCATACATGTTTCCATTCGCGTTCGCGGTTAGAATCAAAGGCGCAACCATGTCTCATGGCTGAGAATCGATTGATGTACGTTGAGCGCTGTCGATCGATGTCAAGTGATCAGAATCGTTCGACGACGTGTAGTCTGTGTCAATCGATGATGAAGCGAGGTCGGTTGGGGTTTGATGAGAATCGGTCGACGAAGGTATGTTAGCGTCGACCGAACGTAGGTCTTTGCGGATCGAACTTTCCAAACTTGCAGGGTCTGCTGAAAATAAGAGCTGTTTTTCCTTGTTGCTTCCGGTTATGCTGTGCATGCACCTGAAAAATCAAGAAAAAGAAAATTTATCAAAAGATGATAAAAGAAAAACAAAAAAAAAAACCTAGAATTATTAAACTAAATCTAAAGGCTATCAAAGCTCCCTGGAAACAGCGCCTAATTTGATGTCTGCTCAAATTTTTATCCTAAGGAGCAACTTACTCTCTCAAAGAAGAGATCTATTGCAAATGGAGGTGTGAGAACATATGCATTTGGTGTAGATCAGTACATTCACGAAGAAAGCTGCAAGATTATGATCATTTCATTCTTGCTTCTCAAGCTGATCAGGTAAATATATATCTGTCAATTTAATCATAAAGATTATTTCATATGTATATTACTATTACTAATTTACATAAATATTTTTTTTTATGTTACAGGTTTGTTACATCAAGTATCCTTGGGTTAGGAACATGGATGATCCATGGGTCACTGTTACATCACTCATCTCGAGAGGTCGAATTCACGGAAGTTCTGATCAAGACCCACTACAACCAAGCACATCCAGCCACTTAAGTGCCTTAGAAGATTTAGCAAATGTTGACCTTGTAATCAGTTTAACCGACTTTGGAGACGAAGCTGTTGTTCACGAAGAGGATGAACCTGTCATTAGAGAGTTTCACCAAGATACATATTCAGGTTCATTTGGTGATGATTCATCTGAAGAAGAGTAGTGTATACATTTTTTTTTTTTAAATTTACACTATTCCGAGGGGTATAGGGGTTCCTCGGAAATACCTTATGAAAAAATGTATTTGGGGTATAGAATTTAGGGTTATGTCCCTCGAAATTTCCTCGGAATATCCGGAGGACATTCCGACGGACTATGATTTTTTAACCAAAAACTCCGTGTTACAGTTAGAAAATATAACAATAGGACTGAAATAAACATTATTAACTGTCTTCAATAGATTATGATTCGAAATGTTTGTTTGTATCGCACTAATGAAATTTTTTTCGATTGTATGACCGATCTTCATACAACATAAGAGAAACACTTAACATTTTAACAAACGGGAACATCAATACTTGTAATCGATTTTCAAATTTTGTAATTTTATTTTTTATGCACATCTATAGAAAGAATGAGGAATGCTATGTATTGAAAAAAATTAAAATTGTGCAAGGAAGTATTTAGGGTCTAAAATATCGAGGTTTTGAAACCACAAACAACGTTTCCTCAGAATTTCCTCGGAAATTTCCGACGAATTTCTGAAGAACAAATCGAACCAATATAAAGACATGCAGAGAATATGCTGTTTTCTCGGAATTTCCTCGGAATATCCCGAGGAAAAAGGCATATTCTTTTCTCGGAACTCGGTTTTGACCAATTAATAGTAATTCCGAGGAAATTCCGACGAATGTTAAAGGAGTCGTCAGAATTTCCTCGAAATGTTTTCATTTAACCGGGAATCAGAACCACCAAAATTTTCGCAAAAATCGAATTAAGTTATTTCCAACGGAATTCCGACGAACCTTTCCGTCGGAATGTTCTGATATCTCTCTCTCATGGCTTCTTCTTCCCCATTTCTCCTATCTCTCTCAAAATCTCCTCTCTCTCAACAATTCCGGCGAAAGCTTCGATTTTCTCCTCATATTCGTCCATAAACATGTAGAACCCTATCCCCCATCTCTTAGGCTCCTTTTGGTTACGTTTTGGAATATATTTAATGATTTTGAAATTGTTTTGATAGAATTTTGTTAAGGTGATTGGTAGATTGTGATTTTGATTGGTTAGGATTGTTATTTTGTTAGGATAATTTGTTTTATTGAATTGATTTGTAATTCTAAAGTTTTTATTATTTTAGTATTTATTATTTCGGATTTAATATTTATCAAAAATATTTTTGTATATAAATTAGGTTTTTGGATTTATAAAAGATTTTTATATTCAGTAAAACTATTTTAGGATTTATTAAACTTTTTCTATATTTATAAAACTATTTTTATATTTATTAAAATATTTTTTGATTTATTAAAACTATTTTTGGATTTATAAAAACTATTTTGGGATTTATAAAACTTTTTTGGATTTGTTAAACTTTTTCTATTTTTATAAAACTATTTTTGGATTGATTAAAACTATTTTTGGATTTACTAAAACTATTTTTGGATTTATTAAACTTTTTCTATATTTGTAAAAAGATTTTTGTATTTATTAAAACTATATTCAACAGCCTGGTCGAGAGGATCTTCTCGTTCTCATTCCGCAGCCAACGGACCGACACAAAACATGGTTAGAATTTTTTTAATTTTATCTTCTTTTTTTCATTATATGTTGCTTGATTCTTAATTTTTCCTTTTTAGGTTCGACCGGTCGCAGAACGGGATAAGCGCCTTCATCAATCGGATGATGTACTCTACCCTCAAAATGAGTTATCCTACCTACACCGCCTTCCCTCTTGAGGATCATGAGATGTAGTTCCGTCAGTTTGCGGTATTTATTTTAAATTTTTTAAGTTATATTTTTAATCTTTGACATAAATTTCTATTAATTGTGTTTTTTTTTTCCAGCAAGAATTCAACTGGGATCCCCTCCATATGGCCTATATCCGTTATGCATTCACCCATAAAGTCATGGAGAATTATGGGAAGCAGATCTATGAGTGGAACAAAAAGTGGCACAAGGGAAAGAAACCGAAATTGATCAACGACACGGTGTGGCTCGAGTTGCAAGCACATTAGGAGAAGGCGGAGGCGCAAGACACCTCGGACACCAATTCCACCAACCGCAAGAGCGAACGTGGCGGGGAAGGGCGCCTACAAGAACAACTTGGGTGCTTGCAGTATGTCAACTCTTGGGGATCGATTAGTAAGTCGACTGTTTTCTTTATATATTTGATTTTTTCCGCTTTAATTTCACTTTTTAATGCTTTTTACTAACAAATGTTTTTTTTCCAGACGGAACAGAATGATAGTCAGCCGGTTGACTCCCTTGTGCTAATGAGGAAAGCGTATACCAACAAAAACACCAAAGAAATTTTGGATGCCGTTGTGATGGAGGTGATCAACTTGGTCGAAACCTAGAAGGAGGAAGTCCAATGCCTATCTTAGCTTCAATCTGACGGCGGCGGCACTACTGCTGCTTCCACCAACATGTCTCGAGTTCGAATCAACGAACTAGTTGAGTCGGTAAGATCTTCATTTTAATTTACAGTTTAATTTTTACTATTTTTTCATTTCATCATCTTTTTCACTGTTTCAATTTTACGTTTTCTCTTTTTTTCCAGGCGGTTCCGAGGAAGAAATGCCGTTTGTTCGTGTTGGCTCGTCGCTCTAAGTCAGTTCCTTCTAATTCAGAACCAACTTTTGTTGATCCGACAATTATGGAGCAGCTACAAACAAGGATGACCGCATCGTAGCATTGGTGAACCAAAACGCCACCATTCTTACCAGAGCGAGGCCATTCTTGCTAGGATGGCAGATCAGCAGAGTGACATGATGCGACGACGCCTGTTCCCGCACGAGTTCTAGTTGGTGGTTTTTTTTGGTTTTTTTAACTTTGAATGTTTAATTTGTATTTTTAATTTTAAAACTTAAAATATTATAATATGTTTTCTATTTCAGATTTAATTTATATTTTCAAATAATTATTATATAAATAATTTTAAATAAAATAATTATTATATATAATTTCTTAAAAAATAAAAATCAGAATTTTCTGAGAAAGTGAAGCCATCGGAATATTCCGACGAAATGTTTCTCAAAAAATTCTGACGGAAGGTTCCTCAGAAAATTTCGATGAACATGAGCCGTCAGAATATTCCGACAACATTGCTTCCCCGAAAAATTCCGACGGCTCAATTTCCTTGGAATATCCCGAGGAAGATTGCCCTCCGTATATCCGTCAAAAACTTCCGACGGACATCTTCGATCGGGTAATGTCCGATTAAGTATCCGTAGGAATAATCCGATGGATACTATTCCTCGGAATTTCGTCGGATTATGTGTCCATCGGAAGTCATTGGTATTTTCTCGGTGTCTCTGACGAAATTCCGAGGAAATATTTTTTTCTGACGAAATTTTTCCGAGGATTTTTTTCCTCGGAATTTGACTGTTTTCTTGTAGTGAGTAACCCCATGTAAGTCGTCTACCAAAAATTTAATGTTGAAGTTCTTCTTTTCTGTGGACGACTTTCTTGTAAGCCGTCTAAGAAAAGTCAATTTTTCTGACACAATGTGATCAAATACAAAACTAACATGTTTATCGTAACAAGTTTACAGGGAAGTCTCTGTGATTTTCGAAAAAAAAACATTTGAAAACAGTTATAATTCAATATTGACAAAGAGAGACTTTGAAAAATTTTTGTTATAGAGTAAACTGCTCTGGAAGTCTTCTTTTGTAAATCTTCAATTTCCAAAATGATATTTTTGATGACTTCTTAGAAATCTGCTAGAAGACTTCCATAGAAGTTGTCTACGTCTATGGTTTTTTAAAGAAAACATATTATCATGTGTTGTTAGTTTCTTAAGAATCCATCTGTAAATTTCTCTGGCTGTTAAAAAAAAGAACGAAGTCAAATCCTTTGTTTTCTCAAGATTTTAACAACTACCCTAAACTTATAAGAATAATCATCATCATGTTAAATGTAAAGAAATCATTTTCTAGAAAGAGGAAGATAACAATATCAATCCAGTTTAGCTTCTTTTCACCCTTTGGTAGCTTGCGTTTTATGTTGTTCTTGTACAACATTCTCTTCTTGATACATAAGCTTTCTCCTGTTGAGACCATACCCATTGTACTGATAGATTATGTTGTATAGGCATTGTCTTAATCCGAGCACAGCAAAATCCTCTATGAACCTTAAATCTCTTTGTCTCCATTTCAAACCTGCACACTTCTGGTATTCTTCAAGACCAGATGATAAGACCTAGTTCTGAACTTTCCTTTCAAGCATCCCACAAGACAGCCTGTTGTATCTGCAATTAGCCAACAAAACACAGAAACGCCATTAGACCTTAAAATAGTCAAAGCAAAGCTTATGGAACTTGGAGAAGGGGTTTGGGGTTTAGTTGCAGACCTTTCCTTGCTTACAGTGGATGAGAACTGGATGATTTCTAACATCTGTAAGCAAACAAAGAGAATATATTAATGAGAAAGCTACAATAGAGGCTAATCTCTTTTGATCAAGCTTTGTGATACGACACCTTCTGCTGTAATCTCACTGCACAGTGTGAGATGCTTAGTTAGAGACACGCTAATTATATACTTAGGGGCTATTCGTTCCCATACAGATGGAGATGAGAGTTTTATTCATTTAGACATTAAAATTACAAATTATCTCGATGGCTCATCTGAATGACTTTGAAATTATAGGCTTAAGTAGTCCATCTGGATTGACCAATTTCGACCATTTGGATGGAGGTGGTTTTGTCAAATAATATAATGGTTATTATACCCCTTATATAATTCACAAACTACAAACCTAAACATGATAACATTTCAAAACTCATGACAAAAATGAGAAAACTGCATTTTCACAAAAATCGAAAAATTCTTTTCCTGTCAAAATCGGAAACCACGTTTTCCCACCAAAACCAAAACACGTTTTTTTCGTCAAAAACAGTAAAAACGTGTTTTTCCACCAAAACCAACAAATACGTTTTCCCGCCAAAATCGAAAAACACTTTTTTCTCGCCAAAATTGAAAAACATGTTTTTCGCCAAAACCAAAAAATGTGTTTTCTTGTCAAAACCGAAAACACGTTTTTTCTGCCAAAATCATAAAAATGCATTTTCCAGCCAAAACCAAAAACGCATTTTTCCGGCAGTAAAACGTGTTTTCTCGCCAAATCAAAAACGCATTTCCCGTAAAAATGTGTTTTCTCACAAAAAAGTGTTTACCCGCCAAAACAAAAAAAAAACACATTTTGCCGCCTAAACCAGAAAACTCATTTTCCAGCGTTTTCTTGCTAAAACAAAAAAAATACTTTTTCCGTCAAAACTGGTGTCCCGTCAAAACGTGTTTTCCCACCAACAATCAAAAACGCGTTTTCCCGCCAAAAACCGAAAACACGTTTTTCCGCCAAAATGAAAAACATGTTTTTTTGTCAAAACCAAAAATGTGTTTTCCCGCCCAAATCAAAATGCATTTTTTTCCTTGAAATACGAAAAACTTGTTTTCCTGGCTAAACCAAAAATTATGTTTTCCCGCCAAAACATGTTTTTCGTTAAAACCGTAAATACGCGTTTTCCCACCAAAATGTATATTTTTTCAAAACGCATTTTATTGTGAAAAACACATAAACCGTGTTTTCTCGTCAAAAACTCGTTTTCCGCCAAAAGCACAAAAACACGCTTTCCCACCAAACACGAAAACCCCAAAATGTCAAAATACTAATTTTAGAATAATTTCAGTGTATATATTTTTGATTAAATAATAAAAATTATTATAGTTAAAAATATAGTTGTAATTTATTTATTAACGTTATTTGATGGAACTAGAAAGAAAAAAAGAAACCAACATAAAATTCATCCAGATGGCTTAGATGACTCATCTGGATTAATAAACAAACAGCCCATAAAATCTGGATGGATCACATAGATGGAGCAACCCTTACTCAGGAAATTGGCATCATCGCGAATCAGGAAAGCAGAAAGATCTAATCCATGTAAACTGAAACACACACACATAAATGTTCTAGTCTAAAGCAAAAAGATTTGATCTTCAAGTCCTCTTAAAACGTCATCATTAAGCAAAGCAATGAACTTTAATGGAAACTAATAAACTAGAATGCTTATGAATCAGTTCAACGCCATTACTGACACTTGAAACTGATCTATTTGCAATCAACTACTGAAAAACTTTAATGGAAACTAATAAAGTATAATGCTTTTAGAGTCGGTTCAACGCCAATCAACTTAGAACAGGAGAAACCCTAAATGAGAGACTTACGGTGGTGCGTACATATAGAACGCAGCTACAGCGATTCATATAAGCTAGGGTTTCAAAGTGAAGACCTAAATAGAGCTTAGAAGAAACAGACACCATATGGGAGAGAAGTTCTGGATCTGTCCACATATCATCAACAGCTTCCAAGTCAGTAAAACGAAACTAAATCTGAGAGTGAAAGACATATCTTTTGAGTCCAATCTTACAGAAAAAGCCTTGATCTCAGAGTATCCGACCCAAGCTATCGCCTTTTCCAACCAAGGCGATATATCTGTCTTCACTCGTCTCTTTTTCTTCCTTTATCATGTCTGAACATTGACTCCTCTTTCTCTTCACTTCGTCTCTTTTTCGTCTTTATGTCTTGTGTCAGTGAGAGAGGGGAGAAGACAAGAGAAGAAGACGAGGGGATAAGAAGAAGAACAGTCGTTAGAGAGAGAAAACAAAAAAAGAATAATGAGTCAAAGGTTTTTTTGTCAAAAAGAAATTAGGGTTTTGAGTTTTAGATTTTTAATTTTATATTTTAGACAAAAATAAATTAATTTAATGTTTAAAGGGAAACAAAATATTTTTAGCTGGAGTAAGAAGACTTTAATATTTTTAACTCGGAAGGCTTGGAAGGTTTCAAACAGAAAAACACAAGAGGCTTTCATCTAGATCTTAAATATATCCTAAACTCAAATAATTAACTAAATAAAAATAATAATTCATTAAATTTAAATAAAAATTTAAAACTATTTAATATACACAAAAAGTCACATATAAATCAAAATTTAATTTTTCACAAAAAATTAAGTTTCCAAAACCTAACCCTAAGAATACATACAATGCAACAACATATGTTTTCAAACCCTAAACCAAAGAATATCATGACTCACTACTTTCTCTCATCTATGTTAAAAATAATCCAATTTTATTATATCACTTACAATTGTTTATAATTACATGATTTCAATTTTTTTCCTATCAAAATATCATTTACAAAATTTATAAATTATTTTTAAGATCTACAATATAAGAAGACTTCCAGTAAGTCTTCCAGAAGATTTATAGAACCTTAGAAAGACTTCCTAGAGTTATATTCGTAAAAATGTATTCTTTTTTTTTTTGTTTATTTATAAGAGATTGGTTGTAATTTCACAAGATTTTTCAAATTTGGGTATATTTTTACATTTAAAATCAAGTTTTAAGTTATATTTGGCAAATAAAGTTTTGAATCATATGATTAAATAAAATATTTTAATTTCTTGATAGAAATAAATTTAATGGTTATATATCCTCCTTATAAATAAAATAGACTTATGTATCTTCTTAGGATGTTCAGCTCAGCAAGGAGAGAGGGGTATTTGTCGCCAATGTCAGTATCCCCAAAAAAAGTCCCAAAATTGCTAGGAGTTTGTGTTTTGTGGGATTTTAATATTGATGTGATTGGTTCTTAATTTCGTTTGGGCTTTAAAAAAAATTTCAAACCCAAAAAAATTAAGTTCTATCGTCCTCTCTCACCTTTCAGTGTAGCAGATGAAAGACTGGTTATCTTCCGGACTGTACCCTTCCTTTGTCGAATCGAAGATCTGAGTAATGTATGCACCACTCTTAAGGACGGTGCCATTAACTTTCGCATTCAATCTCAGTTAACTCGACCCCCACTTTGTCTCATTACTTCACCACCTCCGTCCTCTTAAACTTCTTCACAAAATAGGCATATGCGGCATGGTTTGCACAGATTCTTCTCTCTTCTCCCCTAAGTATGAAATTAATTCGCGAGGCATGAAACACTGGGTTCTTTAAAAAACTCTGTCGTTTCAGTTACTTTATAATTCCAGCACCATCCACAGTTCCGGGGACTTGCAATGCTCCAGAACGTCACAGTGGTCGTTATATCTCCCACTTTCCATTGAGAACTTCTTCTGTTTCATTTCTGATTTTTTTTTTGTTTTCTTTTCTTTTGGTGTAGTTGCAGACTGATGTAGGAGATGGATTTCACCCTCCTCTCAAGGCCCATCGAACAAATACTATGGCCCATCACTCGGCCCGAATGGCGGAAGAAGATATTTCTCCACAAGCCGACAAAGGACTCGGAGCCGAGTAGTGCGGCTGATCCATACCAAGTAAGAAGAGCCGGTCCGCTTAAAAGCCCATGAAGCAAATGACACGGCTCATTAGGGTTGTCCGTATAGCGACTTATAAAATCGAAGAGGAACCTAACTTGGAAGGGATCTGAAAATAGACTGACTAGGCGGCAGCTAAACTAGGGTTTTCACTCATCTTGTTACTCTTAGTTCGGTTCGTACACTTCCAGCTAGCTCTCCGAGCACCGAAATCTTCTTTGTATACTCTTCCGATTATTAATAAACTCTTCTTACTTTCATTTGTTCATTCACATTTTCGAAATAACCCACCGACGAGTTTCGTCGATCATTTACTCGTTTATCATCAAACTCGGTTCAAACAGTTGGCGCCCACCGTGGGGCATAACGAAGTAGTGTGACGAAAGAACATGTTACCCGAAGAAGCTTCTTCCGGTGACCAACCGGAAGAAACCCCAGTTTTTCCGACTGTTGAGAGCTTCATGGATTCCATCATGGCTCGCTTCGCTCAGCAAGATGAGGCTCAAAAGGCGACAAACACTCAACTCGCCGCTCTTGCTGCCATCCTCACACCTCCCGACGGAGCCATTGGAAACTTCTCGTTGGTCCGACGATTTATTTTCAACACCAACCCAACCGCAACTACGGCCAACCAGCCTGTCGAACCAAGAGAACCCTCAGCGGACGACTCCGTCCAACTGGTCGTAAGCCCAGATCCACATACCATACACGAGATTGCCGAACTTAAGCTCTCTCTCCAGAATATAACCTCCCAGATCCACCACGTTACGGTGCAGCTCCCCAAATTGACTGTGTCCTCGCTGAATCATTGCGAACACCTTTCAGTACCTGCATAAGTAGTGTCAAGATACAATTAACCGAAAAACTCCGCTTACCAACTTATGCCGGCGAAAGCGATCCGATGGACCATGTAACCGCCTTTAACATTGTTATGGGAAGGTCACAATTCTCGGATGACGAAAAAGACGCTGGCTTCTGCCAGCTCTTCGTGGAAAGTCTGACCGGACCGGCCCTGACATGTTTCTCTCGGTTAGCTGAAGGATCCATCGACAGCTTTCACGACCTCTCCTCTGGATTTCTGAAACATTATATTACGTTCACCCGCCAAGGAGACACGGCCTCTGACCTGTGAAAAATGTCGCAAACCTCGGGACAAAGAATCAAAGAGTTCATGGGAAAGTTCAAAACTTTGGCCTCCAAAGTAAATGCCCCAAACAGTATGGCGGTATAGGCGCTCCAAAACAAACTCTATGTCCACTCCCCGTTCCGGCAGGACCTCTACCGTAGTCCGACAACCTTGTTGGAAGATGCCATTGCCCGATCGCATAACATTATTCGTATGGAAGAAGACACTTGGGCAATCCTAAACAAACAAAACTCGTCAAAGCCGAGCACGACAAAAGCGCAAGATACGCGACAAGAGCCCCGCCAACATTCTGTCAGTGACTGAGGCGACCGTAAAAAGAGCTACGAGTACGTCGTTGATGGCGATGAATCTCCCCCCTCCACTGTAGTTGTTCAAGGAAAGGGCTAGAACCAAGACTATCGAGAGGATAACAGCGCAAATTCGCAAATGACTCGGATAAATTCTGCATTTATCACAGTACTAAGAGTCATGATACGAAAGAATGCAGACACCTAGGAGAGTACCTCATCGCAAAGTACACTGCTGGTAAAATCGAGACTGAACCTCCGAAACAGCGCTCGAAAGGCAACGAAAGGTGGAGTAAGAACAAGGGAAAGGAATCCCAAAAGTCTCAAGACAAGCCGCGGCAAGAAGAAGGACCTCAGTCCGACAACGAAGGAACGAAAGTTCGAAACCGAGATGATCAACCTCCCGATGAGGAACAACCCAAGAGCAGAAAACACATCCAAGTTATCCTCACCCAAGGGGAGACGTTCTCCAAGGAAGACAATGGACCCGACGACTTCCGAACGCACCTCAAATCACGTCGCAAGGAGGCCTCGATCACGGATCTTAGGGAAAAACTCAATTTTGAAGAAGCGAAAGCTAGATAACTCCAACATAGTCTTGAATGTGAAGTTTCGGTACGGCCAGGAAGACCTCTGTAATCGAACGAGGACCCTCGGCTTATGCTCAAGAGGATAAAGACGCCGGATCTGCAGCAACACTTCGAGCAGAAAAAGCACTCAGCGATCACCATGCTATGGGGCTCCAGACGCAGCTCAATCAGGCGGAAAGCACGGACATACGCTCGCCTGAACGTCATCATGGGCGGTTCTCCCCCATGCGGAGATTCAGTCTGATCGATTAAGACCCATCAACGCCAAGCCATCACCTCCCAAAAGTGGCCGTCAAAACCCGAGAACGGTCCCTCCATCATGTTCTCGGCTGAAGATGACATTGGTGTGCACATGCCTCACAACGATCCATTACTCATAGAGGTTGGGATCGGTGACTGCAAAGTAACAAAAGTGTTAGCCGACACGGGCAGCTATGTCGATCTCATCTTCCTTAACACCCTCGAGAGGATCGGAACCGACCTCCGCCAGATAAAACCCTCCAACTGGGCACTTACGGGTTTCAACGGGGTTTCCGAAGAAATGATAGGTACAATCCATCTCACAGTCAACGCTGGAGGGGTAACCAAGGCTGTGAAATTCTCGGTGATCAATACCACAACACCTTATTATGTTATACTCGGAACGCCTTGGCTCCATTTGATGAAGGCATTTCCATCCACTCACCATCAATGCGTCAAGTTCCCCGGAAATGACGGCTGCATTTGCACGCTACGAGGTGATCAGCAGGCTGCGCGCTAGATCTTGGTTGCCGCTGTAAAACTCCAACACGACACTTCCCACATCAACGTCGTGGTGAAGCCCATTCACAATATTTACCCACAGAAAGAAGAAGTCACCGAGGTCCATCTCGACGACAACGATCCGAGCAAGATAGTACGAGTGGGGACTTACCTGCTCGACAAGATGAAGGAGTGCATTATCAACTTCGTCCGACAAAAGACCTCCACATTCGCTTCAACAACGTCCAATATGAAAGGAATAGATCTGGAAGTTACCACTCACGAGTTCCACGTCGATTCTATGTTCAAACCGGTAAGAAAGAAGCGCTGAAAGCTCGGCCCCAAGCGAGTGAAAGCAGTCAATGATAAATCGATCATCTCCTGGACGCTGGATCCATTACCAAAGTACGATATCCCGAGTGCTTGGCTAATCCGGTGGTTGTAAATAAAAAGAATGGCAAGTGGCGTGTCTGTGTAGATTTTACCAACCTACACAAATCTTGCCCTAAGCACAGCTTCCCGCTCCGACACATCGACAAACTCGTGGAAGCAACAAATGGAAACGAAC